ACGATCCACAACCAGCCACAACGATCCACAAGTTCACAACAATCCAACAACAACAACATTCTGTGCCCCGATCATTGGCCACCATCAGTACTTCCACAGCTATTCCCGTTATAGAGAAAATCAGGGCGTAGGGAAGCGTAGGTTGAATCCATAGGGAAAATCTCTGCATGCGCAAGTGGAAGTCTTGCATTTCCCGCCAATTTTCATCACATGTGTTGATTATTAAACACGTCGGACGAAAAAGTTGTGTATGGTATGCACAACTCCAAAATATAGTTATCAGTATTTTTTGGCCAAATATTTTAGTCGTTAAAAACAGATCTTTAATTTCTTTTGCACTATGTGAGAAATTCTGTAGTCATTACGAACATCGTCTGTCTTCGTGTTGTTCTGCCGTCTGCGGAAGCTTCATTTAATTTTTGCATTTATTTTTGCTTTTTTGTTCAGATTGTTTTCATATTATACTGAAAGTAAATATATTTATTAGTACAGTGGTGTATGTCCCGAATGTTATGAACAAAGGTATTCCCCTATCTGTGTGTGTCGATGCTCTCACATTTAACCCTTGCTAGCTCATTTATTCTCCGCGTTTTAAATCCCGCCGGTTTGCGTGAAGATCGGGATTAGGATCGAAAGCTTTGCAATAATAAAATACGTGGTGTATTATTATTATTAAAAGTATTATTATTAAAAAGAATATACAGATATTGCAACATACGTTGAATTACATCTGGTAACACATTTTTAAAAATTAAATAAGTACAAATGTAAATTATATTAAATACTCTATGGATATATATTTAAATATATGGTATTAAAACTATTTACACATACTTGGTATATAAGAATTCTTGAAACGTGCAGTATTGGATAAAATTCATTTTGATATCTTAAATTGTATCTATTATTATTATCAGGATGTCGATTTAGTAAGTCTTGCATTTTTGCGTGAGATTTTGATTTAGAAAAGAAATTTTTACAAATGTTAGTTCTTCTTTCTTCGAGTGCTTCCAAGGATGTTGTATCTAGTGCATCATTATAATTCAAGTTCGGAAAAATTATCCTCATTGCTCTCTTTTGGATTCGCTCAATGTCACTGGACAGGTATATTGGCAGATTGAAGTGCCACACTGGCGCGCAATACTCCAGAACGGGTCTAACACATGTCTTATAAGCTTTTAAAAGTGTACCATGAACAGCATTAGCTTTCTTTAGAGTGCGCAACATGTAAAGACGTTTAGAGGCTTTAGCTGTAATGTAATGGACATGGGACTTATACACGCCAAATCTTTCAACAGGCTGGTCTTGGATTTTAATAGGGGGGAAATTAGGAACATCTTTTTTCCAGTAACAAATGAAAAATTATTTACATTTTGAAGAATTAAGTTTCATTTTGTTTATGCAACACCAATTGGAAATGTCGTCCACAAATGATTGCAAATTCGAAGTTTCATGCTTAGCCAAGGATTCAGAAATTGTGGTATCATCTACGTATTTCCACCTTTGATTTATCGTTTTAACCAAATCGTTAACCATGATTAGAAACAATATTGGACCGAGGACCGTGCCTGCGGAACACCACCGTTGACTTTTTCGTAGCTTGATTGGGCATCAGGTAGTCTTACACTTTGCGTACGGTTAGATAGAAAACTTTGTACCCATCTTTTCATATCCATCATTTTCTTACATACAACCTGATGATCTATCCGGTCGAAAGCTTTACTGAAATCCGGGAAAAACGCTGGTACGCAATTGGATTTTCTGTAGACTGCAGCCAATCATGGATCATAACAATAACTTATATTGTTTATTGTCATGCAAAATTGAAACTGAAGGTAATTCGTTGTGGGTCGTTGTGGGGTCGTGGGTCGTTGTGGGGTCGTTGTGGGTCGTTGTGGGGTCGTTGTGGGTCGTTGTGGGGTCGTTGTGGGTCGTTGTGGGGTCGTTGTGGATCGTTGTGGGTCGTTGTAGGGTCGAAGTGGTCGTTGTGAGGTCGTTGTGGGTCGTTGTGGATCGTTGTGGGTCGTTGTGGGGTCGTTCTATGTTTTAGTAACTACGTTAAACGGCTTCCTTCGGCCGAGCCTTTGGCGACATTTCGCTTCGCCTTCGGCTTTGTACATGTTGACAACTACTCATTGTTGCGAACTCCCAAGAATGACTTGAAAAATACTATTTGTTACTTTTAAAAAAGTTAAAAAACATGTCGTAAAACAGTATAATAGTAAGGGGTCGTTATGCAAGTAAAGTTTGGCTAATTAAAAGAAGGAAACAAGGCTTAAAATGTCCAAAATCTCAAACACAGTCGAATGGTTTCCCGAATTGTTACTAAATAATGTTTACCTTAAAAAGCAGAATAAAAATGCACGCAATTGACGCAAAAGATACTCGAATGTCGTTAAAATCTTTACAATATCTGGAAAAATAAAGAGGCAAACCATTTCCATCATCTAGTATACATATTCAAAAGTTTAGATGAAAAGGTAATCGCCTGAACACTCGACTATAAAAGGCTCAAAAAATAGGTACGCTAAGCGTACATGTATCTGCGCATTAAAGGTCCAGACACAGCAAATAAAAACAAGAAATAAAATTTTACAAGATATGCAGACAAAATAGCTAAATATTTTTAAGTGGTTCCGAATATTTGAAAAGACGCGTTGCCAAATCGCGTCCGGTCTGTGTGGGCCTTAAGGCCTGATTCCACGACGGCGAAATTCGTCGCGAGAAATTGTGTCTGCGAAATACGGTTGGTTGCACATGTGAGCGATTGTATTGAATTTTCCCACTTTGTCCGTGGCTTTCGCAGTAAGTAGAAATGTTTCGCCTTCAGTCGCCGAGAAAAAGCTCTCGCGGAATCAGGGCTTTACTGCATTTGTGTTGCATTGACAGAATTACATTTTTACCGCAAGTGTCCGAAATTGTGCTAGTTGAAATTATATGCCTGCTTCAGATATAATTTTACGTTTAACCAGTGACTTCTAAATTAAGAGGACGAGAACCATTTATATCCCGAATGCAATAACAGTCATACAAGAAAGTTTCTTTTTATCTGGAGCTAAATATCTGCTACTCATACAGTTCATTACTTTTAAGAACAATCTAAAGAAAACAATTAATTAAGGCTGTAAAACGTGGGGATTCAAAGACGTCGGATTAGACGTCTGTACATGGAGTCATGTATTCGAGACCGACTTGTGGGCAAGTGTATAGGAGTCATGAGCTAATAATATATAGTTTCTGACATTTAAAACATGCAACAGGGCTACGTTTATGCTATACTTTGTTTTTATAGTTTAGCCAAGTTTCATAGGCCTCCATTAAATAACAGTCAAGATATATACGCAAATATAATTTCCGTGTCTATCTAAAATTTGTAATTGTTTTGTGAAGATTCAACCATAAAACAATCGCCGGAAATGGAAGTGCCCTGATTATAAAAGATCGTGACTAAAACACCACACGAGTACATACGAGTAACACACAAGTACATACGAGTACATACGAGTAACATACGAGTACATACGAGTAACATACGAGTAAAACACAAGTACACACGAGTACATACGAGTAGAATACGAGTAAAATACGAGTAGTAAACTTGTTTTTAGTGTTTGTAGATTGAATACAGGCAAAAAGATCGTCTTCTCTGTCGAAAAACGTGAAATAGACTGAAACCGGCTATCTTTAAAACCCGGAACGGGGAATGGGGCCGACGGGGAATGGGAGAACGGGGAAATGGGGAAACGGAGAATGGGAGCACGAGGAACGGGGGGTGACAGGGGAATGGGGGAATTATGAATTATTATTAATACGGAATATTAATGATATGTACGGGGGGAAAAAGAACAGAAAAAGGAAACAGAAATTCGACAGGATAAACAGGAATCGGGGAATTACGAAACTATAAAACGGATTCTGGTGTCTTGGGAATTAGAAAACCGCTCAATGAATTAAAAAGTAAAGAAATTTAGCGAAGTTTTCCTTTATTAGTAGAGCGTATCATAAAAAAGTCAATCCACATTGCTTATGTCAGATCATTAAGTAATATTCACTAATAATAATAACATTGCTTATGTCATTACTAATATACTTGCTATATAATAAAACAAACTTAAGGACTAGATGCAAGGCGAAGGCAGTCCTTATGCTCCATATGATATCTTAAAGTGATTATCCGATTTTAAATATCTTACAAAGCAAAACTAACAAAACACAAAATACTTCAAAAAGTACGCAGATTTTAAGTTAGCAATTTAAGTTGTTGCCAAAAAAGGACCCAGCCGAACTCTCCTACAAACCTTTGGACGTGCTCCACCTTGAAAAGGGGAGGAAAGTCTGGAGGAACGACGAGAACGTCGCCAAGAAAGCTTGGATACTTTGCTCTGATGCAGGCTGATCGGAGATGAAAATGCACGTTCTGAGGCTCACTTGAAAACTGGATTTGTCCTGTATTTCGGTCTCGGAACTGTCGTATGTCGTGGTATTCGACAATTAAATCATCAGGTAAAGCTTCAGGAGGATTCTTTATTTTTCCGTTGCATCCGTAACATCGAGATACCCGTGTCCCTGCTACACATTTTAGTTTGAACGACGAACTTGATTGAATCAAATTAGGGTTGGAGAAGACATTCTGCCGAATAACAGGTTGGTGTGGAGCTGCTTCGGGGAAAAGACTATTAAGCCTGTTGTTCCCTGTTTGTTGCTGTATGGCAGGCAAGATTGAAACCGGAGCTACGTTTAGTGAAAATACTGGTGCTTGTGGATTGACGAAGACAGATCGGTTACCTTCTAGGAGGTCCCTAGTCTCGGTAACAGGGGGTTTCTGCGAGTTGCTTTTCTTTCGATTGCTTGGCTTCTTTCCCGCGCTCTTTGGAGCACTTCCTAATGCCATGTCCAACACTTTGTCTTTATGCCCTCTTTTGGATCTGCCCTTCTTTTGGATCGGTACCATGCCAAGAACTCGTTTAATGATCCACGGACTTGCGCTACTACGCGGGCCCTTCACACTTCAAACTTCCGCCTTTTCAATGTGTAACGATATGTATGTTGTTTGCATATCCAGCGACAATAAACGATCAATATTTTAATTTCGTGATAGGTAGTAGGACCTCTACATGCGTCTTGGACCTGTGGTTTACTTATATTCATTATATTTTCGACGGGGTCTTGAAAGCAGACCATGCCGTGTAACCTCGTATAAGAGGTGCACGTGTATAACGGTGCGCTGTATTATGTCTTTATATGTCAATCCATTGTAGAAATATATCGTAATTGAAGCTAGCATTTACTGTATGTAAAGTTGTTACTTATTGTTACTAATTGCATGGCCATGAGATTATAAATATGAGCAGTCGGCTCAGTAGGACATCACGTGAAGCACTACACTGCATGGCAAAACACCGCGTTGGTTTTACATTTATAAATATATATTATCAAGTCTATTATAAATTGCAGTTTTCGTTTCTTGTTTCGTTCCACTTTAAATTGTTTTTATTTAATAGGCCGTCGAATCCCTAGTCCAACCGACATGTGCTTTCGGACACTGGCAAAACACGTTGGTTTTACATCTATCAATATATATTTGCAAGTCTATTATAAATTGTAGTTTTCGTTTTTTGTTTCGTGCCACTTAGTTTTCCTTTAATAGGCCGTCGAATCCCTAGTCTAACAGACATGTGCTTTCGGTGTGGTAAAAGAAGCCACTGGAGCTCAAGCTGCCCAAAAATTTTGCCTCGACACGACTCAGTCAGTTTGAACCGGGATATTTTCCAAGATCCACAGCCCCGAGCAGCTCAGTTGAGAGAGTAAACGTTAGCCGATAATCCATTGCAAGATGTTTATGAAGACATAACTCAGGTACAACTTTCCTCTAATACCTTTGAATATAAGCAGCTATCTAGCAATACCCGGTTTCGTTTCTAAAAGTAAAAGGGAGGCTTAGAGTTCATATCCAATTTTGGAAGTATATAGAATAGCATTTGATGTCTACAAACAAAGCAAAAAATTTGACGATTGGCGTGCAGCTTTTCAGTGTTTCGACAGTGGGTCGTTTTTCACAAAAATTGACTTGAAATCTGGTATCATTACTTGGATATTTTCTGAACATCAGCCCTATTTGGGCTTTATTTGGAAGAGGAATGACGCGACGCCAAGTTATTTTATGTTCCATGAGAATCCGCACGGCCGAAAAAAGGTGTCAACTGCACAAAATTTGTGCAGTTCGCCGGATGCAATTATGTCTAATCCCAATAAAATTAATAGGCAAAGCTGTCATCAATCTGGTTCTGTTCGCAGTGGGTATATGAAAATTAGCATGTGGCGTTTAGTTCAATATTTAGAAATAAGTTACTAGTCTTGTAAAATCCCGTGAAATGCAATACAATTGCTTACATTTGCTTACAGAAGCCTGTACACGTGAGGGTATTCAGCTATATCCCATATATGTTTTATTTGGTTAGATTCTAAATGAAAATAGCCATGACATGCTGAGTTGCAACTCGCGCAGAAAGGCTTAATGAGTTATGAATATCTGCATATATACCAATGCCATGCATAGAACTCGTACGTGGCATACCGGAATGTGTTTTCATTATAAAAATTTAGATTCAACTGATTAAGCAAAGATGACTACATCTTCTTAACCTGTCAGCAAAAGATGATTGCATCTTTCTGAACACAAGAGTCTCCCCTAAATTGGTCTTTATAATATAAACACAAATTTGCGCTAGCTTTGGCGTTTGCATACTGCTTTTAAAACAAAAAGATTTCGTGTACTGCATGTTTGCGGTCTCTTGATTTAGCTATACATTCTATTTGGCTGGCCAGTTCTAGTCAGTAAATTCGCGCAGAAATAAGACTTGTCGAATTATAACTATGATAATACAGGATATAATAGCTACCGTATGTATAGCTGCAACCGCAATTTCATATAGCCTACATGCAACATTTGATTCATGCATAATATATATATAGGATGAGTTATTATATTATAAAGAATTAGGTTCAACTGATTAAGCAAAGATGACTACATCTTCCAGGGGCGGATCTAGGATTTTTCGTACCTCAGTCAAAATTTTTTTGGTGGACGGGGCGTTATCGGCGCTGGGCGTGGTCTTGACTGGGCGTGGTCGACTCCAGACGGGGGGAGTGGGCGCTAAATAATTGTTATGTTGATAGTCCGCCACTGGATTTTTAGAATTTTCCGTACATAAAATGCGATTTGGTCCCCCCCCGCACACACCTATTAACCTAAATCCTAATTAACCAAATTATAAAACATATTTAGATTAAATTGATAAACTCAAACGAACATTTGATTCTTATCCACAGGCACTGTAAGAACAACTACAAATGCACAAAGATATATTGATGATAATACTTTAAAACTCAGCAGCAATTTAACATGTTTGCCTGTGGATTAAGAATCGTCGTCATATTGGTACTATATGCTTATAAGTGTATCATTGTAAAACTTCTAAAATCATATGGCGGCAAATGCATTAAGGAAATATACTGTTCTGTTACCAAAAACACAGAACTATACATAACAAGTAATTGCCAGTAGCCTGAGCTCCAAAAAACAACCACATATTCATTAACTAAGTCAAAGATGTTATGTCAAATATTAATAAACTAAACCCTTACTATTAATAAAGTCTTACTGTGGTCTATATATTGAACACAAAATATACTATTAATAAACTAGTAACATCAGAATGGCTACCAGTCAAAGAGCTTTTCAAGCTACCTACAATTAAATATTTCACATCATCATGTTACATCAGACCAATGCGGTCTATGTTCAAACCAGGTCGAAAGGCTATGGATAAACAATACACGTATACGCGTTACGCGTAGCCTACATGTTGTGTGATTAATGCATAAATATAAAGAAATTTTAAATAAAGCTTCACTAACATGAGAATCAACAAATGCTTACAATGTAGACATTGAATATTAACATATTTTAGCTTCTTGACGCGAGAATTATGCTAATACAGCAATACAGCATAGCGAATATATTAAAATATCATATGTCAGACAATCATTAAAGTGTCCCTGTCACAAAATGAGAGTTTATATTTTCGAAATCTATGATACAAAATATACGGAAATTCGAAAACAGAATCGAAATTGCTCTTTTAGTGTAAAAGTTATTGCCGTTTAAACATTGTATTTGGCCTTGTGAAAAATCTGAAAACCGCGCAAAAGAGACTGGGACGAAACAATGCGTGTGACGTAATAGTAGGAACTTATCTAGCTCACTGATGTAGAAATACTATTGCATGCACCATCATAGAGGAGGCAATTGCGCAAATAACAGTCACGAAAATGACAAATTGCCGAATATATGTGTAGTAGGCGGTTGTTCTAATATCACAGATACAGAGAAAGGCATTTCATTTCATTTTATACCTTTTACTGGAGACGAGATACACGAAGCGAAAAGGAGACGGGTTGACTTCGTGCACCTTAAACGAGCAATATGAGATCCAAGGTGCAATTTTTATTCCAAATTCGTTATTGTAAAAAGAAACTGCAAATTGTAAAAGAAGCTGCTTCAATGCAGTCAGTTGATATGGCCATAGTCACGAAACTCGAAAGCGCGATAAATATTAATGAGCCACAGTCAATGGATTTACCATGCGAAATATCGCGACAATATATGAGTGAATATTGTCAAAATATTAAATATAGTGGATGAAAGCCAATTTCTTACGTCTACAAGCAATGTGTACTGTTTGTATTTTAGATTAGACAGGTAAAGTAGAATTGTATAAGTGAAAATCGTTGTATTTGACCGCAGGGAAAACCCGTACAATATGCAGATTTTGTAACAAATTGTGGCATGAAACTTGATACACTGTGGGGATGTGTATAAAATGTATTACAAAGTATAATCCATTGAAGCAACTTAATGAAATAACTTAGTCATTGCCACAGTTGCTAGGAACATGCCTGGAACGAAAAACAA